AGGAGGAGGAGGAGGAGGAGGAGAGGAGGAGGAGGAGGAGAAGCCCGGGGGCCCGCCGTCCGCCGGCAGGGCACGGCGCGTCACTGGGGGCCGCCGCGGCGGCGCGCAGAGCAGAAGTGCCCGACCGCAGGCGGGTCAGTCGGCCAATGGGGCCAAGGCCACGCTGGTGGGGACAGGGATCGTGGGGGGCAACGCGAGGGGGGAGGGCATGGGGGGGGTGCATCGATCTCGAGTGGCCGATACATCGCCCATGTATCGTGAACACATCGCCGATGCAGACCGCCCCATGCATCGTCTGCACTTCATCGATACATCGCCCTGATATCAACGAGCCATCGTCGATGCATCGTCGATGTATCAACCTTTCGAGGTCGACGTATCCCCCCGTTGCCTATCCTCCCTACCATTGGCCCCGACGATCCCTGTCCCGACCAGCGTGGCCTTGGCCCCACTGGTCAATCTGCACACCTGCGGTCAAGAACTTTTGCTCAGCGTGTCGCCGCGGCGGCCCCGGCGACACGCTGTGCCCTGCAAGCGGATAGCGTGCTACTACGCTCAGCGGGGCGGGAGGCTCGGAGAGGCTCGGGATGTTGACGCGGGGGGACTGGGAAGAGTGGATAGCATGTTTCGCGCCGAAGCGTGGTGGGCCAGAACCGGGGGTGCGGCACGCTGTACCCAAAGTCCCCGACCGTGTTCCCACTGGCGTAGCCTTGGGCCCACTGGCCGACTTACCCGCCTGGGTGGTGATGTGTGCCTGTCCCTCCGGCTCTCGCGGGGCCCGTCCCCACCTGGGACCTGGGGGCCGGACTGGTGAGGCTGAGGCACCATGGCCCGGCGGTGCAGAGGCTCTGTGCGCTACGGGCCTTGTGCTGGGCGCGATGCCGCCGTCGCGCCGCCTGGAGCGATCACTGATGCGCCAGCACGGCTCGCGCGAGGGTCGCGCAGAAGGTCGCGCAGAGGTCGCGCAGAGGTCGCGCGAAACTAGGGATTCCTGAGCGAAACTCCCCACAGACCCCAACAAGGCCCTCTCAGAGCCCCCCTAGACCCCAACAAGGCCCTCTCAGAGCCGTTACACCCAGTGGGAATGGGGATCGAAGCACGCTTTTTATCATTCGCGATACCGCCCGTGACCAGCCTCGCCACCCCCTCCCCTCCCCCCCCCAGTCACATCATGATCCGCGCCCGCGCCGTGGTGGGAATAAGCCATGCCCGAGCATTCCCAGACGGCGCCGGCGCGAACCGTGACGCGACCAGCCCCCTCCACCCCTCCCCCCCCCTCGTCAGGCCGTTACCGCCAGGGGGGGGGGGGGGGAAATGGGCTCTGGGCCAGACGAGGCCGAGCTCCTGCGCCTCGCCGATGCAGATGGTCTGGAGCAGCTCCTCGGCCGCAATCTCGATGTCGCGCTCGTCCTCGGGCGCAGCCTCGGCCTCTGGCCGCCCCGCGTCGACGAGGCACGGCAGTTGCCAGGAGGGGCTCCTGTGCGCAGAGGGCATCCACGGTCAGGAACTGCCGTCGGCGGCGCGCCCAGGGGGGAACTGCTACGGGGAAGGCCTCCTCAGCAGGCTCGGAGGGCCTCTGGCCTGAGGTCTCTTCCAATTGCCTTCCCCCCGCAGACAAAAAACAAAAAAGAAAAAAAAAAAAAAAAAAAAAAAAAAAAAAAAAAAAAAAAACATCGCGGGAGGCTGGAGGGCTTCTGAGAAGCCCCGCCCACCTTCTGAGAAGGCCTGCCCCCTCGGACTCCTCCCCCGGGCGAGGCCGCCGACTTTGCTCAGCGTGTCGCCGCGGCGGCCCCGGCGACACGCTGCGCCTCTCCGCTCCACGGGGCGAGAGGCTCGGCGAAGCTCGGCACGCCTGGGAGCGGGAGCGCGGCCAGCGCGTCGTTCCCCAGCGTGGTGGGCCAGAACCGGCGGCGCGACACGCCACGCCAAACCTGATCGTACACCCAGACATGCGACGCCCGTGCTTCTTCGATGCGAAACCCCTGGAAATCCCGACCCTTTCCCCGGGACCGGTTTTTTTCATCCCGAGCCGCTGCTTGACGGTCCCGAGGCCCGGCGAGGGCCCCCCGAGGCCGAAACGGCCGAAAGCCCGCCGCCCTGATTGTTTAATAAGACGAAGAAGAAGAAGACGACGAATAATAATAATAACAATAATAACACAATAATAAAAAATAATAAGAATAATAATAAGAAGAAGAAGAAGAATACTAATAATAATAATAATAATAATAATAATAATAATAATAATAATAATAATAATAATAATAATAATAATAATAGTAATAATAATAAGAAGAAGAAGAAGAAGAAGAAGAGGAAGAAGAAGAAGAAGAAGAAGAAGACAAGGAGGAGGAGGAGGAGGAGGAAGAGGAGGAGGAGGAAGAGGAGGAGGAGGAGGAAGTACGACGCGATCCTGACTGGGTGCACCACCACAGTGCCCGGGCTCGGGGCTCTCCTCGGCGGCCCCGCAGCGGTGCACCCACGCCCTCCCGGGCGAGGCCAGGAGGGCCCTGTGCCCCAGCCCCGGGTCCTCCTCCTCCTCCTCCCCCTCCTCCTCCTTCTCCCTCCCTCCTCTCCTCTCTCCCCTCCTCCCTCTCCCTCTCCGCCTCCTCCTCCTCCTCTACTCCTCCTCGTCTCCTCCTCCTCCTACTCCTCCTCCCCTCTCCTCCTCCTCTACTCCTCCTCCTCCCCCCTCCTCCTCCTCCTCCTCCTCCTCCTGTGCCTCATGCTGGGGCCCAGGATGGCCCCGGCCAGGCGCAATTGCAGTGTGCAGACACCCCCGAGGGGCTCCTGGACTCGGACGGGCCGTCAAACTGCGCGACGGCGGTGGGCCCGACGGCGACGACCGTGGGGCGCTCCTCCGCAAAGGGGGGGGGGAAGGCACCGATGCCGCTACCCTTAGGTCTTAAAGGCCTGGAAATGGGCACCAACACCACCACAGGGGGTTGCCTCCACAGGGGGAAGATGATCCTAGATTTCGGTGTTGGTGGTAATATTTCGGCCACCTTGGAAGCCAGAATATTACCACCATCACCGAGATCGGGATCCTCTTCCCTCGGTGGAGGCACACCGCCGATTGGTGTTGGTGTCAACCTCTAGGCCTGCGAAGGTCGGGCATGTCGGCATGTCCTCCTACAGGCGGATTCTGGACGAAAAATAAAACATGTTCGAAAAAGTACTCGAAACATCCCCGAAAATACTCCATAAATCGTCCCCAGACTGTTTTTTTTACTGTTTTTGAATATTCCCCGTGTAGAGGGACAGGCCCGATTTAACGCTACTCCAGACATGCTCGTTCCGTGAGAAACTCACGGCGGGAGGTTGCTGCCAATCTCTTGTTGCCTCCACGGGCCGTCCAAGATCCACTCTGGATGAGAAGCCGGCCCTGGGGAAAGGGTCCGGACTTCCTGGGACCCCGTACTGAGATAAAATCCAGACATCGGATGTCTGGGCACCTTTCCCTCGCTTTGGCCCTTGGGCGCCTCCTGGGGGGCCCCCGGCGTCACGGCGGGATCCGCCGCAAAATCCCGGTCAGAGCGCGCCCTGGGAGAGGTCCGGGGGGGCAGCAGCGGCATCCGTGCCTTTTGGTCTCCCCCTCCTCCGTGGCCACGAGGGTGCCGGACGCCACGCCCCCCTGCGGAGGGGCAACGTTGAAGGGGGGACTGGCTCAGGGATTGGGGACGCCCGAAATGGGCACGGAAAGAATGGGTACAATGCCCAACAACAAATGTTGTCCCAAACCAACAGCGGCCGCTGTTGGGCAGGCGGCCTTCTGTCTCGAATGGACACAGGCCGCGGCGGCGTGGACAGCGAGTCCTGTTCAGAATGAACAGGAACTGCTGTTGGGCATTGTACCCATTCTTTCCGTACCCATTTCGTTCGTGCAGAAGTCGGCTACACGCAGGAGTGACCCTGGGTAAGAGTGACCTTTGGTGCGCGGCTTTCTGGGGGCCGAGGGGGGACCAAACCTGGGCGCGCAGCCCGCTGCTCCTGCCTCGTTTTGAGCCATCAGGGGACCCATATCTGTGCCCGCACCAGAGGTCACTCCGGCGAAAGATCACTCTTACGTCTAGTCGAAGAAGGGGGGGGGAGTTGGGGGGAGCATCGACCTGGGATCTCGGCGGCGCACCGCGCCGGCGGGTCGGCGACCGGCCCCCAGACAGCACGCTCCCCCGGGGCGGCGCGGGCCCCCCGCGAGGCTCCCCTGCGCGGCGAGGGGGCGGCCGGGAGAGTTGGTGCTCTCGGTGGCCCCCGCACGAGGCGCCAGGGTGCCCAGGGCGCCGACATGAATCGAAGGGGCCCTGGGACACACACAGAAATGCACACAAATAGCTGGATTCCTCATCGTTTCCTAGATTTTCTGGGTTTTTGTCTTCCCCCCCCCCCCACTTCCCACATTTTCCCATATTTTCCTGGGAGTCGACGATTAATTGTGTCTGTGTGTTTTTCGGCGGTGGACAGGCCTCCCTTTAGTAGACCTCCCCCTAGTGAAAACGGCCTGGGGCCGAAACCGACGGACCTGGACCCGCAAAAATGACGGCCGCGACGCCCTCTCGCGAACCGAAAACGGCCAATTCACTAATCGACGTGTCAGGGTAGGAGGTCTGTCCACCCCCGAGTTCTTCCCCCTCCTGATGAATTCACGTGCGGTCTGCCCAGGCAGCCGGGAGAGGCGGCGGCCCGCGGAGCCCGCGGAGCCGCCACGGCTGCACGGAGCCCTCTGGTCGCCAGCCAGGGAGCACGGGCAACTGGGCCTAAAGCTCGGGCAGGTCCCCCTACAGGCGGGGCCTTGACCTAAGGAACCCAAAATAAAATAAGGAACGAGGCCCCTTGTTTCCATAAGTTAACCTTCGATTTCGTATCGAAAACCTAAGGAAAATCGAAGGCAAGCTGTGAAACACTCAAGGAACGCGGAGCCCCTCCCCAACGAGAAGGGTTCCTTCCTCAGGGCCCCGACGGTACAGGCGGAGTTTTGGGCGAAGAATGCAAAGTATCCCAAAAAACTGCTCAAACAGAGTTCACAAAATAGTCAAAAACAATCGTCCCCTGATTCTGTTTTCACTATTTGGGAAGATTCCTCCTGTAGAGGGACACGCCCGACTTAAAACTAAGCGTCGATGCACCCCCCGCGAGCCACCCCCCCCCAACGTTGCCCACGACCTGCTCGAGCCAAGCCCTCCGCTGGTGCTCATCCCGGATCGCCTTCTTCTTCAGGAACGCCTCCTGGCGCTCCTTCTCCTCCTTGAAAAGGAGGCAAAGACGAGGATAAAATCGAGTGGGGATGAATCGGGAATCTCTGAGATTTGGCAGCTCTAAAGGATGGCTCGGGCGCCGCGGCCTTCTCAGAGCATTGCGGAAACTTCTGGGAGCGTTCCGGATCACTCTGGAACGGATTTATCCTCATCCTAGCCCCGACCGATCCTTCTCCTCCTTCTCCCGCTGCACGCACTCGTGGAAGGCCTTCGGGAACACCGCCCGCATAAACTCCTGCAGAGGAAGAAAAAGTGCATTAGCAGAAACTTTCGGAACTCTGCGCGAGTTCCTGGGATCTGCGCGGGGACCCCCTGGCGGCGCCTCCGGCCAGGGAGGGGGGGGGTCCAGCGCCAATCCAAGAAGTCCCGAAAGACCTCCGAAAATGTGTTCATATGTCGATTCGTTGTTCCTCTGTCCTTGTCGTCGATGCTCCCTCCGTGGTCCCGGTCGAAGACCTCGAAGAGGTCGATCATCCGGTCGCTGTTGAGCGTGACTTTCAGCGCGGTCATCATCTGGATGAACTCGTCCAGGGACAGCTCCCCATCCCCGTCGGCATCGAAGCGGAGGAAGAACTCGGGGAGGTCCGACGGGGTGTAGCCCCACTGGGCAAGCCGCCGCTGGGTCTGGTCTACGAGCAGGATCAGGTCGCGCTCGCTCCAGACGAACGCAAAGGCGTTCCCGAGGACGCCGACGGGGATCGCCATGAACAGAACGCTGCAGACGATGAGGATCGATATGACAACGTGACCCTCTGTGGTCTCTGGAGTCACGTCCCCATAGCCGACGGTGGTCATTGTCACGATCGTCAACCAGATCGCCTTCCAGTAGGTGTCCACGCTCTCCCGAGGCTCCACGAGGAAGATCCAGAACGCGAAGGTCAGGACCATCAGGCTGCCGCAGAGGGCCAGGAACTGCAGCGTCTCCTAAGAGGAAGACAAACTGCAGAAGCTCAAACTTTCCTAGCTCTGCGCGGACTTCTTCTGCGCTGGACCTCCCTCCCTGGCGCGCGGAGCGCGCCAGGGGCGCCGCCATGGGGTCCAGCGCTGACCCAGGAGATCCGCGCAGAGCTCCGAAAGCTCATGCTTGTGCCATTTGTTCTTCTTCGATCGCCATCGTCGATGCGAGGACCCTCTGGAACAGCCTCCCCTGCACGCCGGTCCACCGCAGCACCTTCGCCAGGCGCAGCACGGGCACGACGCACACCAGCAGGAGCGCCGGCACGTCGCGGGAGTCCAGGCGCTGCGGGAGCGTGAAGCCGACCAGCGCCCGGGGCACAATCGGCAGGATCGATACGACGTCGACGACAATGAACGGGCTCGTGACAAAGTGCTTCATGTCAGGAGCGGTGAGGAACCGCACCACGAGCTCGAGCCCGAACAGCATGTCGATTCCCGTCTCCACCGCGGCGGCCCCGACCGGCGGCACCAGGGGCGACTCCAGCGCTTGCATCAGGGTGAAGAGCACGGAGAGAAGCAGGAAGCAGACCCACAGCCTGGCCCACCAGGTGGCCTCCAGCGAGTTGTCGTCGTTGTTCATGACGTTCCATACCTTCTCGGTCAGGGCGCCCTTCCCAGCGGAGAGCATGCGGTGGAGCGCGGGCGGCAGCGGGGAAGCGTCGCCGGGCTCGGTCATGGACACGCGGACGGTGTCCCCGTTCTTCAGGCACAGCAGACGCAAGTCATCCTTTGGGAGGGGGAGGAGGAGGAGGAGGAGGAGGAGGAGGAGGAGGAGGAGGAGGAGTAGGAGGAGAAGGACGAGGACGAGGACGAGGACGAGGACGAGGAGGAGGACGAGGAGGAGGAGGAGGAGGAGGGGGAGGGGGAGGAGGAGGAGGAGGAGGAGGAGGAGGAGGAGGAGGAGGAGGAGGAGGAGGAGGAGGAGGAGGGGAAACTTTGGGGAGGGGGGGCCACTCCGGGAGGGGTGGGGGCTGCACCGACCTGGAATCGGCGATCGGCGACTAGCCCTCGATAGCAGATCCACAGTGTCCCAGGCGGAGTGGGCTATCGGGCCCCGATCGGCGCTGAGTGGGGCATCGGGGGTCGGTGCAGCCCTTGCGGAGCCTGTCCCCCCCCTACAGTCGGGGCGTTGACCTAAGGAACCCTAAATAAGGAACGAGGCCCCTTTTTTCCATTCAGTTAAACTTCGATTTGCGATCGAAAACATAAGGAAAACCTGAGGCAAGCTGGGAAACACTTAAGGGACGCGGAGCCCCTCCCCAACGAAAAGGGTTCCTTCTTCAGGGCCCCGACTGTAGCGTTGCCCCCGAGGCCTGCACAGACGTGTTCGTCGGCGCTCTGCTCGGCTCGGAGTCCTCGTCCACCGGCCTTGGCCGTCCGCCGCCCGACCACGCCGGGTCCTTGTCGCTCGCCTTGCGCACGCCCTCGTGACTGGACTCCCTGAGATTGGCGTCGGCGCAGTCGGGAGCCACAGGCTGCAGCCAGGCCCCCGCGATCTTCCTGCTGGTCTCGCTGGAGTTCCCCACCTCCTCTGCGCGGGCGGCGAGCACACATCCGCCTCCGCGCCCTCGCGGTCTTGGGCTCTCCGGGGCGCGACCCCGTGGGTAATTACGCGGTCGCACGGCTGCCTCCCGCACGGGGCATCGGCCAAAGAGCGCCCTATGTCCGTGGGGGTCGCGGCCCAGGGGCCCCGCGAGGATGTGGACACGCTGGATGCTCGTTCTGGGGACCTTCCTGGAGCCTCTCGCTCCACTCGTGCGTCGAAGCCGCGTCGAACGTCAGTCGATTTGGGTCGACCCTGAGTCGAACCTGAGTCGAACCTGAGTCGAACCTGAGTCGAACTTGAGTCGAACTTGAGTCGAACTTGAGTCGAACTTGAGTCGAACTGGGGTCGAACAGATCCGTTAGGTAGGCTCCAAGAAGGTCCCCGAAACGAGCATCGAAGACACGCTTCCCGCCCACGACCTCGACCGAGACCTCCCTCGAGGGCCAGGCCCCGATGCCGCTGTGCGGGCGCTCCCAGCCGACGTCCGGCTGCGGGCGCTTGCAGCCGCCGTGCCCCCGCGGGGAGACCGTCGCCTCCGCGAGGCGGCCCTTCACCTCTGAAGGGGCCCACAAGCACACAAATAAATACACACACACACAAATAACAGGATTCCCCCTATCTTCCTATGTTTTCTGGGTTTTTGTCTTCCCCCCCACTTCCCATATCTTCCCATATTTTCTGGGGGATCGACGATTAATTGTGTCTGTGTGTTTTTGTTCCCTCCTGAACCTCGTCGAGGCCCGCCACGCAGGTCTGCAGCTGGCCCAGGGCCACGTCCATCTTGCGGTCCAGCTCCGCGATGCGCACCATCCAGGGCGGCCCCTCGAGGGCCGCGGTGTGGTCGGGCTTGTCCTTGGATCCTGTGGCTACCAGCCTCGAACTTATCGCTATCCCTAAGATCTGACACGCCAAAAAGCGATGACAATCTCAGGGATGCGCCCTCAAAAATGAGGGAATCCCTAAGATTGGCATCGTGATGAGGAGATGCCCAGCATAGGGATAGGGAAATGTTCCAGGCTGGTAATGTGGGCAGCCACCTACGAGCCCTGCCCTGGCAGGTCGAGCGTGTGGAGCACCAGTGCCCCAGCGTCAGAGCTGGACCCGCGGGGGGGGGGGGGGCTGCGTGATTGTTTGAGAGCTCCCGAGCGAGGTGAACCCCACCCTCCCCCTCAGAAATCGTGGGGGGCAGGGGTAGGGTTCGTATGTGGCCCCCGAAAAAAACGTCACTGCTTCTTCCGCCGCCCAGGTCACGAGGGCCGATCCTGTCCCGCGCCTTGCAGTCGAGCGGATGCGCGCCACCGGGCGGGTGCCGGTCCCCGCCTGGCTGCGGGAGCTGCAAAAAGAAGAGGGCGTGCTCCCCCGACCCGCTGGCCGTCGCTCGGGCGCCCATTCCCCGTGCACTCTTCGGCTTCGTGCGCGGTGTGTCACCAAATCATCCAGGATGCTCCTCGGCGGTCCTCGCCGAGAGGACATGCACGAGTCCGAGCGATGCCAGGACCCAGGGCGCCCCCCAGAGCGCTCCGCGCCGCCCTGCCACGGAGCGAGGCGCCCCCCCCCCCCCCCTTCCCCCTGCAGGCCGGGCAGTGCAAAGGGCGAAGCGAAGCGAAGGCCTCCTCCTCCTCCTCTCCTCCTCCCCTCCTCCTCCTCCTCCTCCTCCTCCTCCTCCTCCTGCTCTCCGCCTCCCTCCTCCTCCTGCTCCTGCTCCTGCTCCTGCTCCTCCTCCTCCTCCTCCTCTCCTCCTCCTCCTCCTCCTCCTCTCCTCCTCTCCTCCTCCTCCTCCTCCACCTCCCTCCTCCTGCTCTCCTCCTCCTCCTCCTCCTCCGCCTCCTCCTCCTCCTCTCCTCCTCCTCCTCCCCTCCTCCTCCTCCCTCCCTGTCCTCCTGACTCCTCTCCTCCTCCTCCTCCTCCTCCTCCTCCTCCTCCTCCTCCTACTCCTCCTTCCTCCTCCTCTCCTCCTCCTCCTCCTCCTCCTCCTCCTCTCCTCCTCATCATCATCATTCATCATCATCATCACATCATCATCATCATGCTCCTCCTCCTCCTCCTCCTCCTCCTCCTCCTCCTCCTGCTCATCCTCCTCATCATCATCCTGCTCCTCCTCCTCCTCCTCCTCCTCCTCCTGTGCCATTTTTGGGCAGGGCGCACGAGGCCGTGGCCCCACGTCGTGTGCGGATGCCTGTCGTGGAGGAAACACTACGGAAACCAGTGCACAAGGGGGTCACACAGTCGGCCCTGATTGGACAGGACCAGGGAGCCACATGCGAACCCTACCCCTACCCCCCACGATTTCTGAGGGGGAGGGTGGGGTTCACTTCGTTCGGGAGCTCCCTTGATTGGACAGGACACGCGGATTCACCGGGATTAAGCCGGATTAAACAAGATCAAGCCGGATTTAGCGGGATGAAGCCGGAGTGAGCCAAATTTCGGACCAGGGAAAAGTCAGAAGTTGACCTCCCAGGAGTTGCATCCGAAGTCATCGGCCTGACCCAAGGAACGATGAAGAAGGAACGAAGCCCCTATTTTTCCACGGGGTAACGCACAAGGAACGATAAATAACAGGTACAGTCGGCCTTGATTGGAAAGGACACGCGAGAGGACACAAGACCCTTCCGAGGGCCATAGGAGTGTAAGGAGGCACGTGCCGCGAGGCACAGGACACAAGGGTACCCTTGAGCTGGCAGGCCGCCTGCACGGGAAAGACGAGTGGCATAGACATATAAAAGCTCGGAGGTCCGCGCGGATTTCTCGGATCGGCGCCGGACCCCCCTCCCTGGCGCGCGGAGCGCGCCGAGGGCGGGGCCGGAGGCGCCGCCAAGGGGGCCCGGCGCCGATCCGAGAAATCCGCGCGGACCTCCGAGGTTTTGTGTTTATGCCATTCTTCGTCCCCCTAATCCAAAAGCCCCACTAAAAATTTGAAACTTAAAATTTCATTTTTCCCTGCAACGGCTGCTGCAGCCGTTGCAGAAAATCCTGCAACGGCTGCTGCAGCCGTTGCAGGTTTTCTGCAACGGCTGCAGCAGCCGATGCAGAATTATAGGTTTAGCGAGAGAGACGGCGAAACGGAGAGAGAGAGAGAGAGAAAGAGAGAGAGAGAGGGGGGTCGCCACCAAGGGGGGTCGCCACCAAGGGGGGTCGCCACCGAGGGGGGGCCGGTCGCCACCAGGCGGTACCAAAGGGGTCGCCACCAAGGGGGAGGACGGGGAGCGCCGCCTCCTCGAGGACACCCCCCCCCTCCTCCTCCTCCTCCTCCTCCTCCTCCTCCTCCTCCTCCTCCTCCTCCTCCTCCTCCTCCTCCTCCTCCTCATCCTCATCCTCATCCTCATCCATCCTCATCCTCATCCTCATCATCCTCATCCTCATCCTCATCCTCATCCTCATCCTCTCCTCATCCTCATCCTCATCCTCCCTCCCTCCCTCCCTCCCTCCCTCCCTCCCCTCCTCCCCCTCCTCCTCCTCCTCATTTGCTGTCGCTGAGAAGGTCCATTTCCCGTGCAAGCGTCGGTTTCGTGCGTGTCTCCTTTGCTTACTGATCCAGACTGCTCTCCGATGGTCCTCGCCGAAAATAAGTGCACACGTCCGAGCGATGCCAAGGCCAGGACCTTTTCTGGGACCCTCCTCCAGGACGACCAGCCCTCAGGTCTGACGTTGCCAACAAAAAAAATGCAATATCGCAGAAAATCACCAACGGATCCCCAGACCCCATCTTTCCCATCTTTCTGCGGCATGTTTCAAGCTGGATCGATACGTGAAGAGGGGTGTGCCGAAACGGGCGTGACGCCCGCATGCGAACTGCAGCACTGGGACCTTCGGTGGAGCTCCCCAGCCCACGAAACTTGTGAGGGATGTGCCGAAACAGGCGTGACGCCCACACACGAACTGCGCAACTGGGACCTTCGTTGGAGCTCCCTATGGGGCCACGAAACGTGTGAGGGATGTGCCGAAACGGGCTTGACGCCCACATGCGAACAGCGACACTGGGACCTTCGGTGGAGCTCCCTTGGGGGCCACGAAACGTGTGAGGGATGTGCCGAAACTGGCGTGACGCCCACATGCGAACTGCGCCACTGGGACCTTCGGTGGAGCTCCCTATGAGGCCACGAAACGTTTGAGGGGTGTGCCGAAACGGGTGTGACGCCCACATGCGAACTGCAGCACCGGGACCTTCGGTGGAGCTCAAATGGGGCCGCGAAACGTGTTAGGGGTGTGCCGAAACCGGCGTGACGCCCACATGCGAACTGCGCCACTGGGACCTTCGGTGGAGCTCCTATGGAGCCACGAAACGTGTGAGGAGCGTGCCGAAACAGCAGACTGATGCGAAGAGCAGAGGCAAGGATGGGAGGAGGGAGGAGGAGTGGGAGGAGGAAAGAAGGAAGGATTGACTCGTGCGGGCGGCAGAGGCAGGGATGGGAGGAGGGAGGAGGGGGAGGACGAAGGAGCGAACGCGGGACGCTGTCCCTTCAAAACGAGGACCCAACACCACAGGATGATTGGGACAAGTGCAACGCCAGGATCTCAAGGAGAAGCGTCCAACACCTCCTCGATCCTCGATCCACCCTCGTCGACTCTCGACATCTGGGAGGCAGCCGAACCCCCCGCCCCCCGGCACTGCCCGAGCAGGGCCCTGCGGGGGGCATCCCCCTGGGAGAGACCCTGGGGGCACCCTCCGGGGACGGACGGCACCCCTTGGAAACACACACACACACACACCCTGCCATCGCTCGGACGTCCATTCCCCGTGCATTGTTCGGTTTCGTGCGCGCACCTTTCCGCAAGGTGGCCCGGGATGCTCCTCGATGGTTCCCGCCGAAAGAAGTCACACGTCCGAGCGATGCCAGGAACGCCCGTCGATCCGACTTTTCCAGCCCGCAGCCACACCGTGAGATCCTGACGCTGCAATTTTTCACAACGGGCATTGCCGCCCGGGCTTGGGCCCCGGGACCATCACAGATCGATCCGGCTCGGAAAATGACGCAGGAGGATTGGGTCTAGGGTTAGGTCGGGCATGTCCTCCTACAGGCGGAGTTTGGGAGAAAACTGAAGAGTGGCCCAAAAATATGCAAAAATAATCACAAAAGGCCGGGTCCCGGGCGATCCCCAGGGGGGAGGCTATTTTTCGCCACCCCTCACGAGGATCGTGGCCTCCGAGGGTGTGCCTGCAATCGACTACCCCCCCTCCCACCCCAAGGGGCCCCCAAGAGCCCCCCAAGAGGCCCCAGGGGAGCCCAAGACGCCGCCAAGGAGCCCCAAGACGCTCCCAAGAAGCCCCCAAGAGGCCCCCAAGACGGCCCCAAGAGGCCCCAAATAGCGCTCCAGGGCCGGCGGAATGAGCGAAACAATTTGAAATCACGAAAGATCGTCCCCATACTATTGTCGGACTGTTTTTTGATTTCCCCCCTGTGGAGGGACACGCCCGACTGAAAGTCTTGGGTTAAGTCGGGCCTGTCCCCCTACGGGCCGATCTTGGACGAAGAATCAAAGATAGTCAAAAAAAGTGATCAAAGAATAACCAAAAAATAGTCCAAACATTATTGTTTGACCATCTTGGAACTTTCCTCCCGTAGAGAGACAGGCCCGACTGAAGTCTAGGGCTCTGGCCGTGAGTTTTCGGGAGGCTGCAGCAGACTGCAACGCCAGGGCTGGCGCGAGGCTCCGGCCCTCGCCCCCAGGGGGGGGCCCGTGCTTCGCCCGGACCCCTCGCTGATGGCCCCCTGGGCCCAGCCGCGGGCCCTGATGGGCTCACTTTCCACCACCACTACCATATGTAGGAGAGGGAGGAGGAAGAGGAGGAGGACGAGGAGGAGGAGGAAGAGGAGGAGGAGGAGGAGGAGGACGACGAGGAGGAGGAGGACGACGAGGAGGAGGAGGACGACGAGGAGGAGGAGGACCTCCTCGTCCTTCCTTCTCCCCCGTCCTACATATGGCAGCGGTGGTGGAAAATGTGCCCATCAGCCGAAGCCCCGGAAAAACCGCCGGATCCGACCCAGATCCGTTCGACATGGCGGTCGACATCGACCACGTTCTCTCGCTACAGCGACTACCACTTTTGCGGACACTCTCTGCCCAGGCCAGCTGGGGAGTGGACTTCCCCGTCGGCGCTGGACTCAGGTCGGGCCTGTCCCCTACAGGGGGATTTCGGGCGAAGAATTAAGAATACTCCAGAACAATTCTCCAATACTGCTCAAAATAGTCAGAACAAATCGTCGCCAGACCATCTTTTGACGAATTTTGAGCATCCCTCCTGTAGAGAGACAAATCCCGACTCAACGCTGGACTTGACAAGAGCGAGATGCATGCTGCCGCACCAAAGATTTATCAAGCAGGCCCCGAGGCCAGGACCCCAGGGCCTGGAGAGCCCCAGCCGAGCAGAAGCAAGGCGGCTGCAAAAGCCGTGCCCCCGACGCCGTGCATGTTTCCCGGCGCGGACCCCCCAGAGGTCTGCGCGCCGTCCCCGGGCCTGGCTCGTCGTCCCGGATCGCTCCCTCACGGCCCCGAGACCCCCAGAGGCCGAAAGCGTCCAAGGACCTCAGTCTAGCTTCGGCCACGACCCGAGAGGATCCCTCAGATCTGACATTGCGCAAGAGAGGCAGCACCGCGAAGAATCACGACCATAACCCTGGAGCCCCTCTCTCGGTGCCACTCTTCGGGCAAGACCGACCTGTGAGGGCCCGGGGGCCCACCGACGCGGGGCGAAAACGCCCGCTGCGAAAAAGAATAGCAGCGCTCCTCCTCCTCCTCCTCCTCCTCCTCCTCCTCCTCCCCTCCTCCTCCTCCTCCTCCTCCTCCTCCTCTTCCTCCTCCTCCTCATCCTCCCTCCCTCCCTCCCTCCATCCCTCCCTCCCTCCCTCCCCCCTCCCCTCCTCCGCCTCCTCGGCCTCCTCCCCATCCTCCTTCTTCTCCGCCTCCGCCTCCTCCTCCTCCTCCTCCTCCTCCTCCTCCTCCTCCTCAGGATTCGAAGGCCTCGCAAAGGGAATCTGGAATCTGGGCCTCGCGGAGGTCCGGGGAGGGCGGCCTCATCAGCAGCCTCCCCATCATGATCCTGTGCTTGCTCACAACTGGCTGAGGGGCCTCAATACCAAGGGAAAGATCATAAGTGTCAAACCAAACGAACGCGACCTGCTTGTTCGAAATGTCCATTGAACTGACCAGATTGAGATGGCGTCTGGTCAAACCCGAACCAGGAAAAGAAGGACGAGACTCCGAAGTACTCAAACGAACTCGAACGTCAGCCATCTCGGCGCTCTCGCCCAGTTTTTCGGGTCCTAGGCCCTCACAGATCGATATCCGGCTCGAAGAATGGCGCCGACCGATGGTGTCCAGGGCTCCAGTCGTGATCTTTTGGGATGTCGCATGCGTTTGGCAACGTCAAATCTGAGGACACGTATACGCCTTCCCGGCCTGGCCGGCCTGGCTAGGCAGGCCTACAGCAGACGCGCACGGTGTCCGATGGTGTCTGGGACTCCAGATGGGATTTTCCGCGGTGCCGCCATGTGTTCACCACGTCGGATCTCAACCCAGACATCCGACGTCTCGATTTTTTCGTCACACGGGCCCCCGACCTCCCGACCGCTTCCCCAGGACCGGTTCTTCATCCCGAGTCATTTTTTCACGGTCCCGAGGCCCAGCGAGGGCCCCGAGAGGCCAAAACCTGCGAGAAACCTCCGTCTCGATTCTCTCGAGGCGCCCGAAGTCTGTCTCGGGGGCGGCCAAGAGGGGGGCGTCCAAGAGGGGGGTGGCGCAAATTCTGGCAGGCGGCAGGTGCTCGGCCCAGGGGTGGGGGCCGGGACGTCATGACATGAGAAGAGGCGCCATGAAGTCCGAGGAGCTATCATTCGGCGGCGCGCACAAGGGGGTGGGGGGAGGGGGGCTTCTTAGGCAGCTGCTTTTTAAAGTCGCCGGCCTATCTTAGACAAGGCCCGCGCCTTCTAGGAACAGGGGTGCTTCTAAGAAGCCCCCCCCCCCCCCCCACCCCCCTCTGCTCGTGGCCGAATCATGGTCCACGCCATGATGCCCACCCCACCCCCAGCCATCACCCCCCTTTTGGCCGCCCCAGCTTCTCGAGCCGCCCGATGTCCGTGACTCGATCGGGGGCGCGCAAACATGGATTGGCGATCCATGGATTTGGCGTGCGGTCGCCAAGTCTATGGATCGGGGGGGGGGGGCCCTCCCCAAAATGCAGCCGGTGCCGCCCCGCTCGGCGGCGGGCACCCGCGGTTCCCTAAGGAAACGGGACCCGCCGCTAATCCACGCCCCCTCGATCCATGTATTTGCGATCGCCTGACTCTTCTGCCGCCCCTTCCTCCCCCTCCTCCCCCCTCGCCTTCGCGCTCGTTCGTCCTCCTCCGCATCTTCTCTCCCTCTCCCCTCCCTTCTCTATACACCCCACCCCTAGTCATCACCCCCCTCCCAGACCCCCGACGTTTCATCACGCGACCCCCAGAGGTCTGGACCCACTCCCCGGGACCGGCTTTTCATCCTGAGTCGTTTTTCGACGGTTCTGAGGGCCGGTCAGGGCCCCCGGAGGCCGAGAGTAGTGAAAAACCTCGCGTCGTGATTTTTCCATGACTCGAGGGGGTCTGGGCTATTTGCCGCCCCCGCGTCTCGCGAAGCCCGACGTCTGCGTCTCGATCGGGGTCCTCCTCCTCCTCCTCCTCCTCCTCCTCCCCCTCCTCCTCCTCCTCCTCCTCCCTCCTCCTCCTCCTCCTCCTCCTCCCCTCCTCCTCTCCTCCTCCTCCTCCTCCTCCTCCTCCTCCTCCTCCTCCCTCCTCCCCCCCCTCCTCCTCCCCTCCTCCTCTCCTCCTCCTCCTCCTCCTCCTCCCCCTCCTCCTCCTCCTCCTCGTCTAAGGCAGTGAGGCGCTGCAGGTCCGCGTCTGGGCGCGCCCCCGGCGGGCCTGCGTCTGGGCGCGCACCTCGGAGCGCACGGGCACCACCACCTGGGCGACAAAGGCCCCCGGGCGCGGGCCGCCCGCCTCCTGGGGCGAGGCGCGGCAGCTCGCCTCCTGGGGTGCGGTCGGGCGCGTCCCCCCGCGGGCGGATGCGGGAGGGAAAATATTCAAATTAATTATCCCAGTGCGACCCTACCTAGGAGTTGGAGCATTTAGGAAAGCAACATCTACATCTACACCGACAACTACATTTACATCTACACCTGCATCTACATCTACATCAACATCAACAGCGAGACTCACATCTACATCTACATCTACACCTACATATACACCTACATCTACATATTCATCTGCACCTACATCTACATCCACATGCTATGCTATGCTATGCTGCGCTATGCCATGCTATGCTATGCTGAGCTATGCTATGCTATGCTATAATTTGCTGCGCGATGCAATGCTATGCTAGGCTATGCTACGATATGCAATGCTGCGCTATGCTATGCTATGCTATGCTGTGCTGCGCTATGCTGTGCTATGCTATGATATGCTGTGTTATGCTATGATATGCTACGCTGCGCTACGCTAAGCAATGCTATGCCATGCTATGCTATGCTATGCTATGCTATGCTATGCTGAGCTATGCTATGCTATGCAATGCTATGCTTGGCTATGCTGTGCTATGCTATGCTGTGCTGGTGCTGCGCTGCGCTATGCTGCGCTGCGTTAAGCTAAGCTAAGGTAAGCTAAGCTGTGCTAAGCTAAGCTAAGCTAAGCTAAGCTAAGCTAAGCTAGGCTAGGCTAGGCTAGGCTGGGCTAAGCTAAACTAAGCTAAGCTAAGCTAAGACAAGCTAAGCTAAGCTAGGCTAAGCTAATCTAAGCAACTATGAGATAAGCTAAGCTAAGCTAAGCTAGGGTAGGCAAAGCTAAGCTAAGCTAAGCTAAGCTAAGCTAAGCTAAGATGATAAGCTAAGCTAAGCTAAGCTAAGCTAAGCTAAGCTAAGCTAAGCCGGGTGAACCCAGGGGGCGCAACTGGGGGAACCGCGGGGCGGGGACTGGGGGAACCGCCCGGGGCGCTTTCCACTGCCCGGCCCCTTTAAGCTAGAGAGTAAGAACCCTTCTAGGCAGAGCCTAGGTAGGGAAAAAAGCAATGATGAGTTTTCTTTGCATGACTTTTCTTTAAAGAATGATGCTTTTTTCTTTGTATGTATAAAAGCATGTTCAAAAGGTAAGCAAAAAGTTCCCCCACGGGCGGATTCGATCTTCAAAAACAAAAAAACTAGATATATATATATATATATATATATAGAAATCTTTGTGTGCAGTAAAAATGTCGAAAAGATAAGCAAATAGTTCCCATCAAATCGTCCCCAGGCTGTTCTTGTGACTACTTCTGAGTATTTCCTCCCGTGGATGGGGCGTGCCAGGCGCCGCTCCTGGGGCGCCGTGCGCCCCGCGATGACCGCCATGGCCCCGCGCGGCGCGCGCGCCCCGCCCCCCCCGCGGGAGGGCGCGGGCGTTTACGCGGGCGGGGGGAGGGCCGTGCACGCCCAGAGGGGCCCCTCGCCGTGGGGGGAGAGGGCAAAAAAACAGCAACAACAACAGCAACAACAACAACAGCAACAACAACAACAACAGCAACAATAGCAACAACAACAACAACAACAACAACAACAGCAACAACAACAACAACAACAACAACAACAACAACAACAACAACAACAACAACAACAACAACAACAACAACAACAACAACAGCAACAGCAACAGCAACAGCAACAGCAACAGCAACAACAACGCGCACGATGCCAAGTCGCAGGGCGACGCACCCTCCTACGCATATCCGGTTGGCCAGGCCCAGGAAGGGCCCGGGGCGCCCAGGAGGGGTCCGGGCCAGGAGGTCCCCGGCAAGGGGGGGGCAGCGGATACATGTCCATAGCTGTCGCCGCCCGACCTCGGGGGCCCAAGCAGGAGCCACGAGGAGAGGCTCTTTCGGCTGCACGTAAGAGTGACCCTGGGCAAGAGTGACCTTTGGTGCGCGGCTTTTTGGGGGGCGCGAGGAGGCCAAATACAAGCGCGCAAGACGCTACTATCACACAGAGCGCGGCGATCGGGGGACCCCATTGGGCCTGCACCAGAGGTCACTCCGGCGAAAGGTCACTCTTACGTCTAGTCGACTCTTGGACGTCCCTGGCCCCCGTGGGGCCCTTCCCGGGCCTCGGGGCCGTCCGAGAACGGCTCGGGATGGGACTCGGGGGTCGGCGAAGGATTCCGGGGGTCGGAGAGGGGCTCGAGGGCTCTCTCGAGGGAACCAGGTGCGATGAGAGGGCTGCGAGGATCAGGGAAGGGGTTCGGAGGGTTCGAGGGTCCGAGGGCTCCTAGGGTCCGAGGGCTCGAGGGACCGATGGGGAGCGTTGTTGTACTCGGCGTGTCGGCATTGGGCGGAAAGGCGGGGGGAGGGGGGAGGTCTGGCTCCAGACCTCTGCTTTTAGTGCGACTGTTTGCAAGAGTGCTGCCTTTGGGGAGACTCCGCCCGCCGCCCGAAGCAGGCGCCAAAAAACAGCCAAGACCTGCTCCATAGGGGGGGGAGGGGGGGGGGTCGTGGGGCCCGCGCCGATCGGCAAAACAACGAATAAAAAAACGATCGCATGACCGTCGAAACTCTGGGCCCAGGAAGGGCACGTGCACCGATCCCGGCCACAGCCATCCTGGGCCCAGCCCTGAGCTCCGGGCGTGGCAAGCTGGTCCCACTGGTCGCTCTCGCCCGGTTTCGGGCCCCGGGGCCCTGACAGATCGGTCCGGCTCGAAGAGTGCCGCAGAAAGACTGGGTCGATTTGGACGCCCGAAATGGGTACGGAAAGAATGGGTACAATGCCCAACAACAAACTGTTGTCCCAAACCAACAGCGGCCGCTGTTGGGCGGGCGGCCTTCTGTCTCGAATGGACACAGGCCGCGGCGGCGTGGACAGCGAACCCCGTTCAAAACGAACAGGAACTGCTGGTTGGGCATTGTACCCATTCTTTCCGTACCCACTTCGGGCGTCCAGAGCCTGGGGCTCTGGTCGTGGTTTGTGCACGATGATGTGTTTTGTCGCAGCGTCGGATCTCCACAGCTCCACAGCTCCACGCTTCGTTCCACAGAAGCCCTGGGGCACCTCCCCAGCTCGACGCCAAAGCGTGCCCCTGGACTGCTTGTCGCACGGTGTTCCACCGCGCGCGTCTGGCGCATGCCTTCCTAACCAGGCGGCCAGGCAAGGGGGGCGTACGTAATGCGGGATGACGATTAATAAAAAATGAGAGGGAACGATTCAAAAAAAACAGGTTCCTGCTATTTCTGCACAACTTTCTCACTGGAGGAGAACGATGGAAAAAAAGTTTTCCAGCCCGCGGCCGGTTTTTTCTAATCGTCATCCCGGGCGCCGCCGCGTGAACACGACCCCCGGTCATTTACCAATCGTCATCCTTCATTACCCTGAGATATGACGTTGCCAAGAACTCTTTCCGTCGGCGGCGAGGCAGAGGCAGTCCGCACCCGCGTGGGGCGAATCGGGGCAGCCGAAAGGCAAACTGCCCGACGTCGCCAAAAACATGCGCCATCGTAAAACATCACGACCGGAGCCCTGGACGCCGTCTTGCTGCGCCATCCTTCGAGCCGGAGATCGATCTGCGAGGGTCCCGGGGCCCGAAACGAGGCCAAGAACACCCCCCGTTGTGCAAAAACACTGCGCCACGCCAGGGGGGGTGCACCGATCCTGGACCCAGCATGGGACCTGCCCAGGATCGGTGCGCGTGCACAGCTCTCTACCCTTTTCGGCCACACGCAAGAGTGGCCCTGGGTGAGAGCGACATCGGGTGCGCGGCTCCTCGCGGGGCCGCGGGGGGAGGGGCCAAACACCGAGCGCGCAAGACGCCACCGCCGCCTCGCGCTCGGCGATCGGGGGACCCCATGCAGTGGGCCCGCACTGATGGTCCCTCTGGCGAAGGGCCGCTCTTACGTGTGGCCGATCTTTCTTACAGCGGGCGCCCGCAGCAGGGGGCCTCACGCGCGCGCGCGGGGGCGTGACGTCGCGCACAGCGTCGCGTGGGCTTCTGGGCGGCGGGCCGCCGCGGACCCTGCCGCAGGAGCAGGCCGCCGGCAGGCCGGCCGCCTTCCTGGGGACCTCTGGGCTGACGCCCAGGGCGCCCCTGGCCAAAACGTCCGCGGAGGCGGAGAGGGAGGAGGGGGAGGGGAGGACGACGACCAGGGGGGAGGAGGACGAGGGAGTAGGAGGAGGGGCAGGAGGAGGGAGGAGGCACCTCCTCCTCCTCCTCCTCCTCCTCCTCCTCCTCCTGCTCCTCCTCCTCCTCCTCCTCCTCCTCCTCCTCCTCCTCCTCCTCCTCCTCTCCTCCTCTCCCCTCCTCCTCCTCCTCCCTCTCTCTCCTCCTCCTCCTCCTCCTCCTCCTCCTCCTCCTCCTCCTCGTCCTCCTCATCCTCATCCTCCTCCTCCTCCTCCTCCACCTCCTCCTCCTCTCCTCCTCCTCCTCCTCCTCCTCCTCCTCCTCCTCTCCTCCTCCTCCTCCTCCTCCTCCTCCCCGTCTCCCTCACACTTGGCTCCTACTCCCCCGTCCATAGCGGAGATGATGAGCGTCAGGTGATATGCGTTGGAAAGGCTGCCCGGGTTGTGGCAGGTTCGTTTGGGCTGTACTACGCCTCTCCCCTTCCTTCTCCCTCGTCCCTATTTTTCTGGCGGTGGCTGGGGGTGGAGAAGCCTGGACCGTGCTGGGCGATCGTAATCATCCCAGCTGCTAGGACCTTCCCCCTGTCTTTTTCCCGCTCGATCTCGACCTGCTCTCTTGCTCCAGTGTTGCACAGGCATCGGCACTCTGCCTTGAGCTGTAGAGATCGGAGGTGGCGTGGGGGTGAGATCGCAATGAAACGGAGAGCCCCCCAACTGGGAAATCGATTTCGGTTTCGTGTTCGCGTCGTGGGTGCAACGGGGAGACGTAAGCCTCGGGTACGGGGGACTCGGGTTGGCCCGACGGGGGCCATCATGAAAATGACGAGATCCAATCGGAAATTTGGCGCGGGCTCCCGCTGCAGACATCCCAGGAAAACCGGACCGTCAAAATCCTGGACGCGCTCGTCAAAAAACGTCACAATCGATCTCACTACCGGCCTCACCATCGATATCACAATCGATCTCGCTATCGATCTCACGGCCGATGCCACTATCGATCTCACTGCCGATATCTCACAATCGACCTCACTGCCGATATCTCACAGTCGATCTCACTGCCGATATCTCGCAATCGATCTCACGATCGACCTCGCGGGACACCACGGGGCACCGCGGGACACCGCGCCACGGGGCACCACGGGCCACCGCAGGACAGCACGGGACACCACGGGACACCACGGCCACACCAGCGGGACACCATCGGGACACCACGGCGGGAGACCCCCGGCACCCGCCCGCCAACCGGGGGGGGGGGGCGGGCTTCTGCCCCGGCGGCGCCCTAGCCAGAGGAGGGTCCGTTCCTCTCGCCCGCCCACGCAGCTCCGCCTCGCCCGCACACACGACGCGAACACGAAACCGAAGCCGACTTTCCAGTTGGGGGCCCTCCGCTTCACTGTGATCTCACCCCCTCACCTCCGACCTGCGCGATAAGCAGGGGCGGGCCTCCAAGCGGGGGCCCTCCTCTCCTGACATCATACTGATCATCCTCCTTCTCCTCCTCTTCCCCCATCCCTTCCCCAACATCGTTTGACCGCTAAGCCGTCTGGTTCCCAAGAGGGCCCACTCGCGGTCGAGGCTCTGGCTCGGTCCTGCGCGCGCGCACTCCCGCTTTGCTCGTGGCTCTGTGCAGCCGTGTCCGTGGCCCTCTCGTAGAATGGCCGCAGCCGATGACGCCCTGCTGGTGGAGAGGGGACACTCGTGCGTGGCTGCGTGGGTGGGTGTGCAGCGTGTGGAGGGGGGGTGTTTGGAACGTCTGAGTGCGTGCGCGCGCGCACGATCGCGGGTCTACACACGCCGTCCGCGCTGCCTGGCACATGGCCCTGGGCGGAACACCGTGAGTGGACAAGGTGCGCTGCCCTCACGTGGCCACCAGTCGGTTTGCTCGTTTGTTGGGCTTCCCGCTGGGGGTCGCCCGTCCTCGTGCCCCCACGTCGACATGCAGCTCCCGCGCTCCGTCTCTGCTTGACGCTGCTGGCACCCCTCCGCCTGGCGCTGCGCGAGGGCGTCGCGGGCCGCCAGGTGCCCGACGGCCGTGTCGGCCTGCCCCTTCCCCGCTGCAGTTCCTGGGCGCGGCCGCCTGACACCCCACGCTCTGCGCCTGGTGCTGCCACTGGAGCCGCTCCGGGGGGGGGCTCTCCGGGGCCCGGCGTGCACCTTGCTTCGCGCAACTGGGGCAAGGCTGCGTCTTGGCACGCGTGACCCTGGCGCTTTCGCTCGCCAGGCGGCTTCGTTCGTCGAGTTGCAGCTCCGCGGTTGCCTCGCACCACCCAGCCTCTCATGGGCTTCTGACCCTCTTGTTCAGGGCATGAGCGCGGCT